CTGGCATACGTCTTTCTTCCGCTGACGCTATTTCCAAGGATTCTTCGGAAATTAGGGCAGTCGGAACTTTATCCTGGTTCTTTTTCTACACTGGCCAAACAAGGTTCTTGTTCCCGATGTTCAAGAAGATGGCCTACACACAGTGGGAACTTCCAATCTCGAATGATCTCCTAATGAACAGGAATCTACCCTAGGGTTCTGTAGAAGTTCAGGTTTACGGCCTGGTTACTGCTAGGTTACTCCTTCATTATCAGGTTCTGCAAGAATTGTTAAACTAGACTTCCTGCTTTTAAGGTCTTCTTTCAAATAAGGGTCAGGTTTCTTTTTTAGTGTTGGAAACACCATTGCCTGCGTGTTCATCCGTCTCTAGACCCATGCTTCAATTTCTTCTGGATGTTTTTTCTGCAGGCCTAGGTCTTTCTGCTTTGAAGTTCAAGCCTCAGTCCTAAGACTCTCACTGAGAAAGATTTTGCATCCATATGTTAATCTATAGGTTTTTGTAATCTGTCAGGTCCAGACATCCTCCTAGAGATCTGTTTTTTCCTGCCTGGGATTTATCCTTGATTTTTACCAGCTCTTTGTGTCCCTCATTCGATCTTTTGGAAGAGGTTTCCCTTACAGGTTTCGTTCCTCTAGGTCACCTTCTTGGTGGCCGTCACATCGGCTAGAAGATTCAGTGAGCTTCAGGCACTTTCTTCCCCAGATGATTTTTTTTCAGTATTGCTCATGGACGGGGTGGTTCTTCACTTTATAAAACTTCCTTTTTCCTACAAGTCAACCGATTGTGTCTGCCTTCCCTTTGGTTGTTGTCCCACCTCGGGAGCTTAAAGAGTTTTTTTTCTTGGAGCATTGCAAGGTTTATCTTCCTAGGACTGAGGAGCTCAGGTATTCTGGCCTGCTGTTTGTTAAACTCCAGTGTAAATTCCAGGGGTACGGCGCTTCCTGCAAACTTTTGTTTCAATTGACTCATACGAGTAAGTAGATTGGCGTGTTTTTCCGGTGGTCTTTAAGTCTTTAAGATATCTCTCACGGCTCTTTTCACTCAAGGTGTTGGCTGGCCCTGGGGGGGGGTAAGAGCTCTTGTTTTCTCCAGTAGACGTCTGTAAGGCAGCATCTTGGGCTACCTTTCCACATCTTCGTTAAACTCTACAGGCTAGAGATATTCTCATCCTCGTAAACGTCCTTTGGGCATAAAGTTTGCGAGCTGTGCTGGCATTGGACCCGCCCGGTTTAGGGATCTTGCTATATCCCACATGTACTGCCACCATATGACAGAAAAAAACGAAATTTTACTTACCGTAAATTCTTTTTTTTCTTAATATGGTGGCAGTACGGCTTCCCTCCCTCTATATATATATATATATATATATATATATATATATATATATATATATATATATATATATATATATATATATATATATAAAAAACTATTTAGGATAAGTTTTGTGTGTTTTCTTGCTACTTACTGGGGTAGGTTTTGCCGGATAGCCCTTATATAGGGCAAGGGGGAGGGGTTTGTTGATTTAATTAATCTGGTTAGATGCTTGTCCACAGGAAAGGGGCAAAACCCACATGTACTGCCACCATTTTAGGAAAAAAATCATTTACGGTAAGTAAAATTTCTGTTTTCCCTTCTCTGATCGGTTCCCTTTGATCGTGGGGTAATGACCATGTTATTAGTTATTATTTCCTAAACTGTTAATAGCTCCTGACTTATTCCTCTTCTGCAACTGTCACTAGTCTAATACTATCCTTACCTTTTTGTGTAATTTTGCCCCACTCCCTCTAGCATGTAAGCTCTTTGAGCAAGGCCCTCAACCCCTCTGTTCCTGTGTGTCCAACTTGTCTGGTTGCAACTACATGTCTGTTTGTCCACCCATTTTAAAGCGCTGCGGAATTTGGCGCTATATTAATAACATAATAATAATAGTGGGTTCCCTTCTCTGATCGGTTCCCTTAGATAATGGGTTAATGACCGTATTATTGGTTATTATTTGCCTTCTGTAATCAGTCAGAAGTTTCGCGAATCAGCGCACGAGACTCTGGCCGATCGCACAAAGATAATATTTATCACTGTTTAGTTATGAGTCCCTGTCTCCAGCGGGAGTTTGGAGAATTCGGCAAATATTAACTGTAGTTTTCTGAAAGTGGCCATTAATAACCCCCTTTATTAATTAGGAATCTCTTAGCTCTATCTAAAGCAGAGACCCCTGATTATTATTTCCCCTCTAAGTGAACCATAATTGTTGTTGTAGGTGGTGCTATCCAGTATATGTGTGTTTGTGGTTTTATATTAGAATCTATTCATTGTTACGTTTTATTTATCAAGTGGCTTCCACTTTACTGAACATATCTGGAATTTATCCCCTTTCTACACGCTTGACGGAGTTTGATAACTTTCGGAATTCAATTCAATAGGGGTTATTCCCCAATAGGAGATATACACAGTGAATTTTCTATTCACACTGAAACCACAGAGCCAGTAACAGAAAGATAAGACAAACACTAATTTTACCACATGACAGGAGGCTTCATATTTGCATAATTTTTATTTACTTAACAACTCCAGCAGCACAGATCAATCAAAAGTTTTTACCAATCAGAATCAAGAAACATTCTACATATGTCTCTGTGGTGCCTGCCTCTTCCTCTTTCTTTGCTGCTCCAGCTAGAGTACAGGTCAGAGTATTGATTCTCTTACATTCTACCTTATGATTTGAATTTGTTGGCTATTACTACCTTACCTTATCACTATTGCATAAACTGTTTGCCCCTCTCCAGAGAGAGAGAGAGAGAGGACCCGGGAGCTCAGCCTGCAGCTCCTTCTCTCATGAGCACAGAGCATTGCCGCGGTTACCACGGCAACGCTCCAGATCTCGTGTGAGTGAACTGGCTAGAGTTCACTATCACCACTGGGGCCACCAGGGATTCCCCACCGGACCACCATGAATCAAGAAATGTCCCCCCTCCTCCCTCAGTAAAACGGGAGGGGGACATAAATATATTTATTTTATTAAATAAATAAATGAAAAAAAATATTAAAAAGCCTTCCTACCCTACCCCCCCATACACACACTGCCTCCCATACACACAATGTCTAACACACATACACTGCCTCCCATACACACACTGCCCCCCATACACACATTACCCCACAGACACATACAGTGCTCCACACACACTGCCCCCCCATACACACATTGCCCCACACACACGGTCCCCCCATACACACATTGCCCCACACACTGCCTCCATACACACACTGCGCCCCCCACACACACACTGCCCCCACACACACATACAGTGCTCCTCATACACACACTGCCACCCATGCACACATTGCCCTCCATACACACGTACACTGCCCCCTCACGCACACATACAGTGCCCCACAATACACACACTGCCCTACACACAGACTGCCCCACAATACCCCCCCACACACACACTGCCCCAAACACACATACACTGCAAGCCTCACACACCACTCACACACACACACACACACTGCACCTTTCATACACACTTCACCCCTCACACATGCTCACTGTTCCACTGCTCCTATGCCCTATATCCCAGCAGACCCCATGTAAGTTGTCAAACTGTTCTTAAACGGTTTGACTACTTACTCTGGGATGGGGTCCTGGCAATACCGGCACCATAACTACTACACTGAGCTGTAGTGGTTATTGTGCCTGGATTATTTATTTAAATAATCTACAAGTGCCCCTACCGAGATCAGGCTTTGGATCCGCCACTGCCCCTCTGTCCCCTGTTCATCTACATCTCCGCCTTTGATTCTCACTATCCCTGTCTGTCCGGGCGGGAGGACTGGCCTCCCTACCCGCGGCAAAGCTTCTCCACGGGACGGTTAGGTAACTGTCCCGCTCCTTCTGTGGCTCAGTTTCGGCAGAGTTGGGGGGGTGACCAGGTGGTGGGGATTACGGGGTGTTCCACCCGCTGCTTACACGGACCGCGGGAGTTGTTCACGCCGGGTCCCTGTGCGTGGTGGCCATTTTGTGTTCGTGGGCCGCAATACTCACGGCGGTTATCTTTTGTTTTTCAAATTCAGACAGTCTCCTTACACTAATAAATAACTGCCGGATCTAAGATTGCCTGTACGGATCCACAGACATTGTACTGCCCCACTGTGTACCCTCACAACAAGTAAGGATATTTTCACTGTTGTGCCATCTATTACCAACTTCTAAACAGATTTTCTGACAATTGTGTGATTAACCCTTTTAATGCCTGCAATACATACCCAGGGATGTAGCACTATCCGGGTAAGCTGTAGTGAATAAAACACTGCCGGTATCATAACCCGTTCTGGGTACATCCTGTCACACAGGCGGATCTGCACCGCCTGCTTGGTACCTACCCACCGGCATCACACAGGGTATACCCTGCCATAATAGAAGCTTTCAGCGCCTCCCCCCCCCCCCAATTCAGGGCTCTGCTCCCTGTCACTAGCCGCTCTCTGCGACCGGCACCAAGGGGCAACCTTCCCCCTTTATATCACTATACTGGTGTGGGAACTGTGTGGTTGGCACACCACCTGCTCGGCATACCCCGATTGTGCACACAGGGGAAACCTGACAACACGGCCTATCACAGTCGCTGACTCATGTCCTCTCCTCCACAGATCTCTACAGATATGAGGATGAGCGACACCACCGCCATCCCAGGACTTCCAGTCCATGATCAACGCCACAGTGACGGCCTTGGTTAAAAAGGCCTTGTCAAAAATGCTCACCAACCTCCTCCTGAGGTACCCCTGCTTAACGCGGGCATGTCCCTGACGCAGGATCAGGACGCAGAGGGTTCAGAGAGGCCCACCGGGGAACCACCCCTCTTGCCAAAATGCCACCGAGCGGGCACAATGTCCTCAGTCCGACCGAGAGTAAAAGATGTGGTCAAACGAACCAAACGGTCGGTGATACTTGAACCTCAGCCCCCAATGCACTCCTCTGGGGATGAGGATGACTATCCACATACGCTGGATATCCTGGATGAATGGCAAGCGGACTATTCTGCATCAGAAGGGGACGAATGGTGTGACAAGACCAATCTCACCACTGTGCATTGGAGGAGCCTGGTTGCCTGCTTGCTGCCTTTAGACTATGGCGCCATGTTGAAACGCTTGATTTTCCCCAGCTAAGACACGAAAGCCGGGTCATTCGGTACTTGCCCTATTTGAACAGTGATACCCTAGATATCTATGCCATGGATATCCCATTCGTATAACGAAAGACTATGCGAAAGACTTTGGCTCCATGGCAATTGAACTGTATGTATGTTATCCGAGCGTCATTCAGTAATAATGTGCGCTCAGATCTAAGCTATCTGGGGATATGCACCTGTTTTATGCAATAGCTGCACAGTCAAATATTTTTATGTATTTTATTGTCTTTTGCTACCATGTGACTAATGGAGTTTTGCCTCTTTCCTTGGAGATAATTGGATTGCTTCCCAATTATCTCCAGGATAGAAGACTCTGTGGAACTGGTTTTGGGCAGAAAAGCCCTGCTTTATTTGGTCACAAAGGACTTCGATCTAACTTTTGACCCACTGGACCAATTTGTATGATTTTGACGTATGTGTGTATTTGGAGTATGCTGATTCTGAAAATGTAAGCCTTATGTGAATGTGATGCATACTTTTGATGAATAATGTGGAAAAACTGTATTTCTCTGCCTGTGAGAATTACATTACCCTTGTGTAAGGTAATTGTATCACAGGCAGAGGGGAGGATTTTGTGTGGGAGTGTCTAAGTGTATTGTACATGTTTATTGGTTGTTTTACAAAACCCTGTGGGTGGTTCTAATGTGTAAGAATGTGTATACAAGAACAATAAACCCACAGCTCTGTCTGTTCACTGCTTGACCTTCAACACGGAGCCTTGTCTCGTCTTTGGGGGGATTTACTGTATGCTGTTAGAGACTGATTGCCAGGAGTGTAAGCCGCTTGGGTGCTTTTCCTGCTTTTCCTGTTCGTCTGCTAGCAGTTATTCGTGACGTTCTAGTTCGGGAGTTTGGAGTATTCCTTTGTATCCAGTTCGGGAGTTTGGTGTTCTGCAGTAGCTGTGCCTGTGTCTCTGGAAGGGGAAGATCTCCTAAACGGCACTTTAACCCTTTTATGCCTGGGGGTGCCGTTACAAATGGCAAGACCTAAACCCTCACGACTCCATGTATGTGAAGGAGTCTTATGCAGGCGATCCCTCATCGAGAGGGCTATTACACAACCCGGAGTCAGAGGGTCAGTTCATGGACCCCCAAGGCTGTCCACTATTCAACCCACAGTCCAATAGACATCCAAAGTCATCGGAATGGGGCCTCCCAAATCACTTAGCACAATTTGTGCACTATTGGATTCGTAAACCTCTGGACAACGAGGTCAGGGCACGATTACGGGCTGAATGCCCACGCCCTACAAAGTGGCAGGTACTCCAGAATTTGACCAGACAGTGGTCGTTTTCATGTCCCGGACGGGACGGGACTCCAGGAAAGGAGCCGAAGGTGTAATGACAGGAATGAATAAGTAGATAACTCCCTAATTCCCACGGTATTAGGAAGCTATCTACTAAAAGGCTGAAAGACCTAAATTGGTAAAGATTACTTAGTATTAGTAAATTATGCACCTATGCAAGAATACATCAAATGGTAAGTTTATGTTTACAGGTACTTAGTTAAAGGTTCCCCCCTCATTATTTTTAGGGTGAGGGGGTTAGGTAGGGGTTTATTGTTTGGGGGAGGGGGTGACTAGGGGTTTGGGGACCCCTAGCCATCTTGGGAGGGGGGTTAAATTTTCATTTAGGGCCCCCACCCACCGCTCAGGGGTGGGGGCCAGGGGGGAGGACATTAGGTCCCCCCTTATTCTTCTTTAGGGCCCCCACCCACCGCTCAAGGATGGGGGCCAGGGGGGAGGACATTATTCTTGTTAAGGGCCCCCACCCACCGCTCAGGGGTGGGGGCCAAGGGGGAGGAAATAAGGCCCCCCCCCAATTTTTATTTAGGGCCCCCACCCGCCGCTCAGGGGTGGGGGCCGGTGTGAGGACAATAGGTCCTCCCCCCTTTTTTTACTTTAGGGCCCCCACCCGCCGCTCAGGGAGGGGGGACCCTTTTTTTTTTTTTTTAAACAGTGAGCAGCCACAGGCAGCCACATTATATGCCTTGGAGGATTGTAACCAGCAGTGGAATAGTTCATCAGGATCTAACTGATGGCCAAGATTTTATGGCTTCTAGCTGTGCTGTGAGCTTTCTGTGTGTGTGTGTGTAAAGTAAGCTATCATAAATCTTGCTAAGTTCTTGACAACTGGTTACTTTTAGTCGCTGTATGTGTTTAGCCATTGCCATTTGTATACCTATGAAATACTAAATATTCACTGATTGTTATGCATGTTACATATTAATATTGTCACAATAAATTATATTTTTATAATCAAACTGTGATTTACTGTGTGGAGTAAAATCCTCTAAATGAGCTTTCTCTAGGATCTAAGAGAATTGAAATAGTGGGCAATTCTCAGCTTTATACTATCAATTTTCGGGGTACAGTACCGAGATATCAATTTTGATATAATAAAAATTATTTAATTTTTGATAATTTTTATAAAAATATTATTTTAATATTTATTACCCCATAAATATCCCCACAATGACCAGAGGTCATTTCATTACCTTTAACTTATTTCTGTTCTTTTCAGTGTGAAAATTGGCTCCCTATGCTGAGCTACCACGGATTTCTGACAGTTTCCACCTGTTAAAGAAGTTTGACGGATCCACTACGTTATGGACCTTGTTCGTTGTTCTACTAGTTTCGCTTTAAAGAAAGAGGAAGAGGCAGGCACCACAGAGACATATGTAGAAACGTTTCTTGATTCTGATTGGTAAAAACTTTTGATTGCTCTGTGCTGCTGGAGTTGTTAAGTAAATAAAGATTATGCAAATACTCGCCTCCTGTCATTACTAAAATTACGATTATAGGTACACTCCGTTAGCATAATCTACAATTAATAAACCCAAATATATCCCACACTATATTACACCAAATTATTATGCAAATTAAATTTTTCTCATTTACCTAAATAAGTCAGCATAATTGTTATCAACTATTAAGAGTACAATTCAAATTTTATTGAACAAACCTAATAACAGTATTTTTTTTAAACATAAACTTTCAATGCACTGTTCCAAATTATTACGCACAGTAAGTTTCAAAAAACTTTATAGGTTGTAAAGAACTGAAAATTGTCATTTGTTGTGTTTGCAGCATATTTACTGAAATCAAAAGCTATTTCAATCAAACTTATAACAACATTATAACTTTTTAAACATTTTAACAGGTCACTTTACATGTTAACATAG